TATATATATATATAGTACTACACTATATTGTATTTGTTGTTTTTGCTAAATATTGTTCAACTTATTTGTTTGTGTTAATATTTATAGTTTATTTTGTGTTTTTGTTGTTTATTGATTAATTGACTTTTTTAGTAGTACACTATTTTGATCTATGATGTAAAACTCACAATTTATGAACCCTATATTAGTTAGATATATCCAATTTTTTTGTATTCCTTATTGTATTGATTTTTTGTTATACAAATTTTAGTATTCATTTAATACAATAGCATTGATGATGGTTACCAAAAAAATTCAACTGGTATTTCGATATGGGGGGCGCACCTTTTAGATATTACGAATAGTTTATGGACTTAGCATTCCTTGTATGTTTAATTGACTCTTAACCGCATAGTATCAAGCGTGAAGTGGACCGGCCGGTTTACCTAAAGGGACCACCTGCCTCGACCCTTTTGGTACCATGGTCCAATGAAAAGACAGGATTTGAAAAACATGCTATTTGAAACTCAACAAATACAAGAGAAAGCTTTCTATACTTCCCCTATAGAAGTTATATACTTCCTCTATCCAGCCGTTTAATTTAGATCAAGTAAGTGATTGACTGTCTGATCTATATCTGACGCCTCAGAGTACTTTTTTTAAAAAAAAATAATAAATTATATGAATATGAAAGTTGATACTTGCCATCTTCTCAATTGGGTACACCTAAAAAAAACTAAAATATACTTCTGATAAAATAAAATAATGATCAAAATACATTTGAAACTTTTAGGGGTATTTTGATCATTTTATTTTATCAAAACTATTTTTTTATTTTTTTTGTAGGTATGAGTTTAAGAGAAGAGTGAACACCAAAAATTTTGGTGTTAAATTATTCTATAAATAAAAATAAAAATAAAACATTGTAAAAGTGTGATATTGTGATTGGGTCTATCTCAACCGTCCATTTAGATTGGACAGTTAGATAGGGGAAGTATATAACTTCTGCAAGGTAGGGGACGTATAGAAAACTTTTCCTATATGATTTAGGTCCATTTTCTCCTTCATTATGTTCCTCCCTATCTTTTAGATACTATTTAGTCATGTTGAGAATGCAAGATACAGTTCTTGTCCATCTAACAAATAGCTTGCAGCTCCTGTTCCGTCGTGGGAAAGGAGATAATTTTGAGGGAGAGAGAATTCAATGCTTTTCATGCTTTGAGTAATTGTTGAGGCCTTCTAAAGTTTTCTCGATCCATTAGCAATGTCTGATGAATCTGAGGGCATCAGGTAGTACCTTGCTTATGGTGGTTGGCATCAAAATAAACTTAATGGAAAAAGTTTATATAAGGTTGCGACGAATTAAGGTGCACTTTGAAAGCTCATTATAAAAGGTTGTTTTGATGTTCGAAAACCTTTGAATTGATCATCTTAACATCGAGACGTATGAACATGAAAAGAAAAAAAAAAATTGAGTTGTAAAAATAGTGTATATTACAACACATTATCTGAAACGTCAATTTTCAAGTATTTGTACATCTACTTCATTTGAACCATTTTTTGGAGTTCAAAATTTTATAGTTAGACATGAAAATAGATTTTCAAGCCATCCTAAAAAAAATTTACACCAAAATTTATATTTATGATAAACTTTGGAGGCGCACCTTAATTTTATCGTTTAAGGTTGCAACCTTATACAAATCACACCCAAGCATAATAGCCGACTCTCTATTTTATTTTATTTTATTTTTCTCTGGGTTCTTTTCATTTATCCTAGCTCCCCATTATGTCTTCTCCGGTGTCCAATTTTTTTATTGGTGGGGTTTCTTTTCTTTCCTTTTATTTTTAATGTTTACTGGAAAATGAAAAAATAAAATAATCCAAGAATTACATATTTAATTAGAGAACATGGTATGGTGAATACAAATTTAGATGTTCACCTCCGCATAATCTTCCACATGAACGACAGTAAAATGAAGGCCATGCGCCAAGGGTGATGCTGTAAAAGAAGTGATAAGCAGTCTGACAGGAACAATTAAGTTGTTTTTATGTGCAGTGGCCATGAATTCAGGTGGTCGATCCACCTGTGATGGTGGAATTCTTTTAGATTGCAATGTAAATCTTATTCAATGTTTTCCGTTTCCTCTTTTTTTGGTTAGTTATTATCGGTGTCCAAAAGATCGAACCGGTCTCCGAAACCGGATAATGGCGAGTTCCAAGTAACCCGTAACCAGCCCGTTCAACTGGCCTATCAGGCAGGTCCCGGCCGATCCAAAAAGTGTTCATAAAATAAGATAAAATATAAAAAAAACTAAAAAAAATGAAATATATATTTAAAACACGGCTAGACAAAATACATCCAAATGAAGCTGAAAGTTAATGAAAAAATAGATTTTAAAATTTTTAAAGAAGATGGGAAAATATAAAAATAAGTATTGATAGCCAAAACACTTTACAATTAGATAAAAAAATTGAAAAACATATTACAAATAAATCCCTTATTTTTTATATAAACTTTTTTAAAATTCCCAGCTTGACTACACAAATCAGCTAAAACCGGATCAACCAATACTTGATTTGACCAGCCGGTTCCCAGTTGTACCGATCGAGTGTGTGAACACTCTTTCATTGCTTTTGGATACATGAATGCACCCAACATTGGGCTATTAGGAGGGCTTTATATGGATATGGAAAAAACATAATCTATATATTGTATATAAGGTGTGGTTTGCAATTATAAATTTTTTTAATTATAAATTTTTAAGTTCCAAAAAAGGTTCAAAACTTCAAATCAAGAAGATCTATAAACTCATGAAAATTATAAAAATAAATATATTATTTTTATAACTTAAAATCTCCTTTTTTTTTGTTTTTTTTTTTTATCGAGACATCTTGAGGTCAAGATTATCAATTAGATGCCTTTCCAGTATCAAAAAATCCTTTATTTGATTTATTTTTTAGGGGCACCTTAATTCTACAATTTAAAGCAGTGTAGGAAAAATTGAACCGGAACAGCTAACTGGACACGAGGTTGGAAGCGGTTACTCTATACTAAGTGGTAAACTAGCCGATTCAACCAGCCTAACTGAGCAAGTCCTGAGAAGTAAAAAAAGTGTTTAAAAAAATAAAAAAGTGTAAAAAACCTAATAAAATATGAAAAATATATTTAAAGTATGACTAAACAAAGCATAACCAAATGAAGTTGAAAATTAATAAAAAACAATGGATTTTAAATAATCGATTTGTGCCCAGGAGTATTTTTAAAATTTTTTAAAAAGATGGAAAATGTCAAAATAAATATTGATAGCCAAAACAATTTCCAATCTTTGTCAAAATGTTGAAAACTTTAAAAAATGTATTACAAATAAAATCCTTTATTTTTGGTATTTTATATAATTTTTTAAAAAAAATAAACTACCCAACCAGTTCACCAAAATTGGTCGAAACCGTAACCTGTCACTAATCGGTGGTTATAATTTGAACGGCCCTATTTTTCTTAAACTGATTTAAGGCATCAACGTTATGTATATCATCATCATCATCAAAATATTTTTGCAACTATTTGGGTCTGCTACACTATTTGAGAAAAATTTTGGACGAAGCCTGGGTTGTACTAATTATAGCCTGAACACGGCCATTGAAAAAACCCGTAGACCGGTATACATGCCCCATAACAGTCCTTGCTCTCAAAGTTAAAGATCAAGCCAAGGGAGTTGGAGAGAGAAAGGTGTTTTATATCATTGTTATTCTAGAGAGAGGGACATATATATTTGGTCTAGGGAAGAGAGATGTTTTTTAACATTCTCAATCTATATGGACCTCCAAATCAGTGCAGGAAAAATCGAAAATCAATCGTTAATCGGAAATGAGGCCAAAAGCGGTTATTCGGTACTAATCAGTTAACCGGCGGATTCAACCGGCCTAACCGGGCAAGTCCCGAGTAGTGAAAAAGGTATTAACAAAATAAAAAAAAATCTAATAAAATATGAAAAGTATAAAAGGTATTAACAAAATAAAAAAAAACTAATAAATATGAAAGTATATTTAAATGCATGATTAAACGAAGCACATCCAAATGAAGTTGAAAATTAATGAAAATATGAATTTTTAAAAATTGATTTGTACTTAAAGGTACTTTTGAAATTTTCCAAAAAAGATTGAAAAATGTAAAAATAAGTAGTAATGGCCAAAACAAGTTCTAAGGCATTAAAAAATGTATTGCGAACAAAATCCCTTATTTTTTTGAGATTTTATATAATTATTTTTAAATTTTTCAAAATACCTGGCCGGTTCACCAAACCTAGGCGAAACCAGCACCGGCCAAGGGCCGGTTCCAATCTAACCAAGTGGTTTTGATTTGAACCACCCAACTTATCTCACATTGCTCTAAATGCGCTCTCCCATTTGATGTTGAGTTGATTAATGTCTTAAAAATTGGCAAATTGGATCGGAATTGGCCGGTTTAGATTGGGAATCATCGAGGCCGGTCCAGTTCTGCTTATAGATTGGGAACCGACCAGTTCTCACAGAACTGGTCCCACATTATTTTTTAAATTTTCTTCACTTTTTTTTGGTTTTCTTTGATATCTTTACATTTTTTATTCTCCAGTTCATTGGGCCAAATCGGCAATCCAAACTGGTTTTCTAAAAGACCGATCCGGGTCACAAAACGATGTTTTTAAACCTTGGGTCGAACGACATTTGTCTTGAATTTTTCCGATATCCACGTTTACCCCCCCCCCCCCATAAAATCCATGGTAAGCAGTAATCATGGCCATTTAACCAAAAAAAAAAAAGGTAGTAGCCATGGACAATTGTCCTAAAAAATTATTTTTCTTTTTGATGATTTAAATATGGGTTCTATATAAGGAGGTCACCTATCTTGCCCCTCTTCCTAATCGCTCTTAATTTCACCCACCCACACACACATATGGCAAAATACCTAAAAGTTTGATATCTACATAGGTTAAAACTTGAACAATGGCTATGGAAATAAACTTTCACTATTTCCCAATCAAATACTCAAAAACTAAAATTTACATTTCTTGTGCTCATGTGATTGCATCATTCATAGAAGCATTACTACTATTATCTCTTCCTCTTTCCCCCGGTTAGGGCACTTGATTCACGAAATAAAAGACATATTAGAAGAGGTACATGTTACTCAGGCAATGGGATATCTGCAAGGTCCTCTCTATAGGGGATATCTTTCTTTTCTTCTTCTTTGTTGCCTTCTTCGCCTTTCTCCAAATGGGTTTCGTCTAGGGTTTCTTGGGCTTCTACAAAAGTGACCACCCTGTCCTTTCTTAGGGTTAGGTAGATCACTGCTATAATATAGGCAGCCATTAGAGGAAAAACTATGATCCCTATTAAAACTGATGCAAACTTGGGCAACTGGTTGTGGATTAACCAGCCAACAAAGCCAGTGCTTAAGTAATAAATATTAATTCCAATTATGCCAAACCCTAGTACCCATGTCACGATTATGATCTGCAAAATAAAATTTCGACAATTGTGAGTAAGGAAGTAATGCAAAGACAAGTATTCCACTCTGTTTTCAATTGTAAATTGTAAATAATTTACAATATTTTAGTATCAGTGTTGTCATTAAGATTATTACTTGGAATTTTTAATCATTCCATTGTTACCTAGCATAAATTCTAAGGACCCCTTTCTTACAAACGGCAAGTGTTGGACTGTTCAAAAGGAAATGTCTTATCGACCAATATTAATATCGCTTCATGCCAAAGGATCTTGTGTTCGTGTGGGAACAACCTGTTCATTTGATCTCTCAATTAAAACTTAATGAAACCTCATCAATTTACCTAGTGGCCCAAAAAAAAAACACATGGAGTTTCTATAATGCCTACGCTTTATGCAAACAAAATTGAGTCTCACCTTGAATCCTCGTCTGAAAAGCCCTTTGGTGATCGAAAATCTCTATGATAGCTCTAAAATCAATTTCCAACTCTGATTAGAAAAGGAAAATTGTTTCATGCAGGCTGGACCGCATAACTACATATGCGGTCCAAAAAGTGTAAAGCATCCATCTTAAAGATGGATGTAGAGATGTGATCCATCTAAAAACAACGGAAACTAACGGTACAAATGTTTTCTTATTAGAAATATTATTTCTAG